TGGGAGAAATGATGAAGAAAAAATGCTTAACAGAAAATTTCAAAGGGCAGCTCAAGAAGACAAAATAAGCAATTATCATGAAATGTGCAAGCCTTGAGTTGTGACATCGAAAGATTCTAAAGGCAAACAATTGAATGAAGCAGGTAGCATCCAAAAAAGGAAGGAATACACAGTAACTATATAAAAAAGACAGGTCAGGGTTCAACCATTTTAGGAAGTAGCATATGTCCAAGAACAAATCGTAGTGAAGAAAGAATTCCAAGCTGTGCTGAAGACATGGATGAAAAACAAGGTTCCAGGAGGTGATGGAGTACCAACTGACATGTTTCAACAAGTGCTTTTAGATGAACATCTAAAAGAATCTATAAGATTGCTACCTGGCCCAGCCGACTGGAAGGGATTTATAATTGTGCCCTTTCCCAAAACAGGTGACCTAACAGACTGAGGAAATTATCTAACAGTATCATCAATATCACAAAAAAGTAACATTTGCTGAAGATCATTCAAAAATGTTGCAACAGCCCATTGACAGGGAACTGCCAGAAATTTAAGCCAGATTCAGCAGACAAAAAAACAAGGGATATGATTGCAGATGGCAGATGGATTTTGTCTGAAAGGAGAGAATACCGAAATATGTTTATTTGGGTCTTTTTTACTATGAAAAGACATTTGACTATAGATCATAACTAAGGATAACATTAGCAAGAACTGATATTCAGAACATTTCATTGTGCTCATGTGGAACCTGTACACAGGTCAAGAGGCGGTTTTCTATCCCAACAAGCAGATACTGAATGGTCTAAAATAAGAAAGGTTATGTGTCAGGGCTGTATGCTTTCAACGTATTTATTTATTCAATCTGTATGGTGAGCAAATAGTCTGAGAAATTGGACTATATGAAGTACTTGGTATCAGGAGTGGAGGAAGACTCATTAACAGCCTTTGTTATGTAGATGAGGGAAACTTTGCTGATATGAAGAGGACTTGAAGCACTTACTGATGAGGATCAAAGATTACAGCCTTGACAAAACGGATTACACCTTGACAAAAATAAAAATCTTCATGTGGGTTCTATAAGAGATATCATGATAAACAGGGGAAAAAGACTGAAGTTGTTAAGGATGTAATTTTATTTGGACCCACAATCAATGCCTAGGGAAGCAGCAGTCAAGAAACCAAACAACACACACAGAATCCAGGACAGATAAACCCCTCAGGACCAATATTGAGAGTAGTGATTCCATGAGGGTAGGAGGATGGTGAGGAGAAGAGGAGGAATGGGGGGAACCAATCGCAATGATTGACGTACAACCCCCACCCCACCCCCAGCGGGGAGATGAACAACAGAAATGTGGGTGAAGGGAGATAGCGGACAATGTAAAGTATGAAAATTAAAATAATTTATAAATTATCAAGGGTTCATGAGGGTGAAAGGGTAGGGGAGGGAGGGGAAAAATGAGGACCAAGGGCCCAAGTAGAAATTTTGAAATGATGATAACATATGTACAAATGTGCTTGACACAATGGACATATGGATTGTTTTAAGAGCTGTAAGAGCCCCCACTAAAACGATGTATTAAAAAAACAACAAAACAAAACAACACACTACATTGGGCAAATCTGGGACAAAAGACCTCTTTAGTGAGTTAAAAGGAAAAAGTATCACCTTGAGGACCAAGGATTGTCTGATCCAAGCCTTGTTGTTTTCAATTTCATTTGTCACATAAGCATATGAAAGCCAGACAATGGATAAGTTAGAATGAAGTAGAATCGATCTCTTTGAATTATGGTATTAGCCAAATATATTGAATATATCATGGACTGCCAAAAGAAAGGACAAATCTGTCCTGGAAAAAGTACAGTCAAAATATGCTCCTTAGAAGCAAGGATGGTAAGACTCATCTCCTGTGCTCTGAACCTGATACAGGGAGGGACCAGTTCCTGGAGGACATCAGACTTGGTAAGGTAGAGGGTCATCAAAACAGAGGATGCTGCTCAAGGAGCTGGACTGGCGCAATGGCTGCAGTAGTAGGGTCAAACAGGGGTAGCACTGTGAGGATGGGGCAGGATTGGGCATCGTTTTGTTGTTTCCCATAGGGTTCCGATGAGTCAGACTGGACAGTACCTACCAACAAGCAGGGAAGAGGTAAGGGACAACCAGGACAGATTGGTACATACCTGACACCAAGTCTATGCCAGAAAGTACATACTTCGTTGAACAAACTATCTGGCAGCAAAAAATAATACATAAAAATTCAGCTTGGCTTTCTAGCAGATAATGTGATTTCTTTAAACACACGCACATATGAGGCTAAATAAAAAAGTACTGTTCCTAGGTTCCAGTTCATACAAGCACGGATTTACTGCAAGAAAACATGTCTAGACATGTATCTGTGATGCAGATAAGTTCTCCATTAACATACGTAGCTCAGTCTCATAAGGGTGCCTTTGAATTTTTCTCTTTTTGTGCCATGGAAAACAGTGATTTTAAGGTCAGAATGTTTAACAAAACTCAAATGGACACGGTCCCAAATTACTGAAGCTTTGCAAAAAGTTTTACAGAAATGTTGCTCCACATAAAAGAAGCTTTTAGTTTTCTTAAGATAGGGAAGACCTCAAAGATGCACTGAGGCAGAGAAGGCAGCTCAGAAAGTTCTCACTGCCCTCTAGCCCATGCTACCTGACAGGACAGAGTAGGGTTGCCCTTGGAGGTTTCCAAGGCTGTGAGTCTGCGTGGATCTCCCAAGTTCAGCTGGAGCAGGGTGCTCACACTTTTTCAGCATGAGAGCTACTTATAAAATGATCAAGTCAAAACGATCTATCAACTGCAAAATTGTAAAACATATATTTAATTTATTTATTCGTAAATGAATTGAGATTCTTTAAATGTACAATGTATGTTTATGTACCTTGCATAACCGCATGAGTCCATATTGCACAACACAACACCATTAACTATGTACATTTTTTGTCATTACCTGAGTTTACTCTGATGACTTGCACTGAATGGAATGAGCCAGGGATGCATAGTGCGGACAGTAGCTGCTGACAGCCAAACTCAAGCAGACTTCCAAATGATCATCAGTCATGGTGGAACGGGACTTGGACTTAATGATTTTTATGTGGGAAAAGGCTGACTCACATCAATAAGTAGAGCCAAATAATGCAGCCAAGGAGGTAGCATATTTTCTCATGTTTGGGTACTTTCCCTCTGCGAGTAAGTCTGGACTTCAGTTGAATGTCGGCTTGTAGTGTCAAAATATCCCATTCCTATGAAACTCATGTTTTTGTCTTCTTACTTGGTCCAGCTCCCCCACTCATTTTAATACCCTTTCAAGAGAAAAAAACCAAGGTCTAAAAATTGGCGATGACTTAGCTTGTCAGTTTTGCTGCACTTAGCGCAGTTGTTTGCACATGCATTTGACACCTAACATGGCATCTGATTGGCTGTGCTGTATACCAATTAAGTGATGGGATGGATGATAGGCTTACGCCTAATTTTGTAATGCCATGCCATCTACCCACACTACATTTGCGATTGACTAGTATTGAGCACCCCCGAGCTGGAGGTTTGGAACTGCTAGGGGTCGATAGCACAGTGCGTAACCCACATCACCCAAAGCGTAATCTTGATACCTTTTTCTTGAAAGGAGAGCAGAAGTGGTATTAGAAAGAAAATTTTAAAGTGCATCGATGAAAAAAAAAAGACGCACCTACAAATTGTTTCCTATCACAACTATGCACCTGCTTATTCTTTGAGGGTAGCAAACGCTTTCAGAATGCTTTTTGTTCCCCAAACTAAAGGAACTTTAAAAAGGGACACAATTTGAGGGCCCCCGATGATGCCCAAACTAAAATTTTGACGAGGTGTGACTTGAGTGCGGAATTCTTTGGGGAAGCTGAGAGATGG